AACGGATGGCTGGGAAGGGTTGTCTTTCTTATTTGGCCTTCGCGATGGATGTTAGCGTAAAGACTCCTACCATTGATTCAATTCCGGTGGTGAGGGATTTCCGAAAGTGTTTCCTGCTGTTGGGCATGTCGCCGAATAGGATTGTTGATTTCGGCATTGATCTGGTGCCGAGCACCGTATCGTATGGCACCGACAGAGTTAAAGGAGTAGCTTCAGGAAATCCTTGATAAGGGGTTCATTGGTAGGCCAATATGGATGTGTGTTCTACATCGAGTCGGCTTGGTTGACTCCGAGTTGTATTGTTGAGGGATGTGTTGATTCGATTGTTATTGAGCTTATTAGTGATATGGGGAGATCTATAAGTTACCTTTCCGTGTTGCGAGGCGTTAGGATTTGTTGGTTATAGGAACATGTGGTGCGGTTTTATTGGGGTCTCTCAGTGGAATTCGAGCGGGAAGAGTATTGGCTATTAATCGGCGGATGGCATATTGGTTGTGTCCTTTCGGGTTTGTGTAATGTTATGTCAATTGATTCGTAGTGGTCATGATGATTTGCTTTGGTTCTAGACATCAATTTGTGCATGGTTGTCGATTTTGAGCATAGTGACTTGAGGTGTTTCATGTGGACCAGTGTTTGGATAGGGTCGTGCATTGCATCAAAGTTATGTGGAGGTATGATCCTTTAGGTTAGATTCGTGTGTTCTGTTTCTATGATGGGTGACAGGTTCTCAGCATTCTGTGTGGTGGTACTTGTGAGCTTGCAGTACCGCTCTCTCATTTGAGTCAATACGTTCAGATTGTTGCTTAATTGTGCGCGGATTGCACGAGTTGTGGCTTTAGATTGTATTGATGTGTCATGTCACCAGAGCAGTTGTGTTGAATTAGATGAGACCGTTGGGATCTAGAATGAATACAAACGGATTCAGTTTCACCGTGTTGGAAGTATAATATCGATGTTCGGCTCACGAATGGTTGATTTGAGGAATGGTTATGACTTTCTACGTGTTTCATTTATCATTGGCAGTATACAGAAATATTGGAATGAGGCTTTATTTGATAAGAGGTTTATTATCGATATTTGGTTTTTCTAAGCAACTACTATGATCAGAAGTTATCGCTACGAGAGTTTGAGCTATGTGGTATATCATGTAATTGCATCTGAGGCTACAGGTATGGTTTGTTACAACTTGTTCTAGCTTATTCAAAGTATATATGTGAGATTCTGATCTTGTAGATAATTTTAGAAGTGGAAATATGGTTCTAAGGTTTATGGGCTAGGTTGGATTATGAAATTTCAGTTACACTGTGTTATCGGACCTATATGAGATAGGTGACGTGGGATCACCCCTGGGTATGTTCATGGTAAGGCTACACAGTGATTTGATGGTTTTCGGAACAACTTTGGGCACGTTTGAGGACAAACATATGTTTAAGTCAGGGAGGATGTAACGACCCGACCAGTCATTTTGAGCTTTTGCATTTCGCTCGCTAGTTATTGGGCATGACTAGCCTCGTATGATGTATTACAATTGATGTAAATTGTCGGTTTTGGTTTTTAGGATAATTGGAATGGATTTGAAAGAACAGTTCTCCGTTTGAATATTTAAATTTGAAAGGTTTGACCAAGTTTTGACTTTTTAGTATTCGATCTCAGATTTTGATTTTTATGATTTGGTTAGCTCCGTTAGGTGATTTTGGACTCTGGAGCACGTCCGGAATGTATTTTGGAGGTTCGTGGTAGATCTAGGCTTGAATTGGCGAAATTGAAAATTGGGCATTTTCCAGTCGGTAGTGGAAATTTTGAAATCAGGGTCGAAATGGAATTCTGGAAATTGGAGTAGGTCCGTTGTATCATTTGTGACATGTGTGCAAAATTTCAGGTCATTCGGACGAGGTTTGATAGACCTTTTGATCGAAATCAGAATTCAGAAGTTTTTGGAATCCTTAGGCTTGAATCCGAGTGTGATTTGATGTTTTGATGTTGTTTTGAGCATTCCTAAGGTTGGAACAAGTTTGAATGATGTCATGGGATGTGTTGGCATGTTTGGTTGAGGTCTCGAGGGCCTCGGGTGAGTTCCGGGTGGTTATCAGACCAAGTTTGCAGTTTTGAGAGTTACAGGTTTTCACTTCACTTCTATTGCAGAGATTCCTTCTTCATGATCACGTGAGGAGGCTCGCGATCGCGTAGAGAATTTGTAAAGGTAGTCAATGTTTGCTCTTCGTGTTCGCATATTAAGGACTGCGATCGCGAGAGGTTATCATGTAAAGAATCGCGAACGCATGGGTAAGGTCGTGTTCGCATAAGGATAAGTGGACCAAGGCTTGACCACGCATTTGCTCATCGCGAACGAGGTCCCTAGTCCGCGATCGTAGGTTTGAGAGAGATGCGTATCGCATTTGCGTGGAGAGTGACGCGTTCATGTAGGGTCATTTCTGAGTCAGCAAGAATTTGTTCTTCGCGATCGCAATGGTCTTCTCGCGATTGCGATTAAGGAAAATTTACCTTGGAAGAATGTTTAAAAGTTATTTTTGCGATTTTTGGTCTATTTCCTCCATTTTTGAGCGATTATGGAGCTTTTAAAGATGGATTGAAAAGGGAATCAAAGGGAAACACTTGAAGGTAAGGTTTTTGAACTCAATACTCTATTCTATAATGATTTCTACCCAATTAAACATGAAATTAGTGGGATTTAAAGCCTGAAATTGGGGAATTAGGGCTTGAAATTGGAGAGTGTGAATTGGGAATTTGAGGGGCCATTTGAGGTCCGATTTTGATGTTCTCGGTATGTATGAACTTGTGGGAGGATAAGGATTATATTGATGTAATTTTTATTGGATTTTGAGATGTGGGCTCGGGGGTCGGGTTTGGCCAATTTCGGGATTCTTGGTGTAAATTGGTTATTTTCGAGTGGGCTTTGTTCCTTTAGCATATTTTGATAGTATGAATCTGTTTTTAGTTAGATTTGGAGCATTCGGAAGCCGAGTCGAGAGGCAAAGACATCACGGGCTAGAGTTTGGACTGGATTGAGGTAAGTAATAATTGTAACTTTTGTTCTGAGGATATGAAACCCCAGAATCGTTGTGCTACTTTGAGGTGACGCACACGCTAGATAACGAGCGTGAGGTCGTGCACCGTTGAAGATTGTGACTTAGTCCGTCTCGTACGACTGTTAAGTCGCGCATTTGATTAAAACTTGTTTGATATCATTGTGTTTTGGAAATTATTACCATGTTTTGGGCTGAATGCCATATTTGGGCCTCGTGCCAACTGTTTTGGACCCTTATGGGCATTTTACTGCTATTCCTCACTGTTTTGACTTCATGTTTGTACACAGTCATACGATATTCTACTATTTTTATAACTCAGCCATATTTACTCTATTTCTTATCTTTTAAATGATATTTTGGGCTGAGCATCATGTTTTACTGTTGCCCGAGTGGCTTAAGAGAGATTTCAGACTGAGTGAGGCCTAGGGCCTGTGTTGTGAGGATATTATGACATCGAGCTACGCGCCACAACAGTGTTTTACTAATTCATGATTGTGAGGTCGAGGGCCTGATTTGTTATGCCATGAGGTGGCTTGTTATGAGACCGAGGGCTAGTTTGATTATGCCACGAGATGGCTTGTTAACGCTTGGTCTGTAGGAGCTCCTCTGGAGTCTATACACCCCTAGTGAGCGCAGGTACCCAGTGTGAGTGATGTGATATAGCCCGAGGGGCTGTTGTTGTTTCATGTTAATGCCCGAGGGGCTGTTCTTGATCTGTATTTTGCCCGAGGGGCGGTTCTTGATTCATGTTATGCACGAGGGACTGATTTTGAGTGATTGTGAGGTAGCCCGAGGGGCTGGTTCTGTTGATATTATGCCCGAGGGGCGATTGTCTTCGAGGGGCTGTTTACGTTTCTATCATTTTTACTCACTGCTTTATCACTTGTTTCAAACTATTGAAAGTTGTTTTAAAAGGTTTTACTGAAACTGAGCTGATTTACGAAGTAAAGGATTTCTGTACTGTTTTGGAAATGTACTGCATTTGCTGTAGCGTTGTGACGTGGTTTACGTGTCTTCTTACTGCTCGGCTTTCATTTACTTTTATTACTTACTGAGTTGGTGTACTCACATTACTCCCTGCACCTTGTGTGTAGATTCAGGTATATCTAAACCCAATAGCGAGTGTTGGTTGCTCAGTGACAGAGTCATCAAAGTTAGCAAGGTAGCTGCCCGACGTTCGTAGCCCTGCTCTTCTCCCTCTTGTCTTCCTTAGATTGTTTTTAGTATATTTCAGACTCTTGGTTGTATTCAGACCTTAGTAGATGCCCGTGACTTGTGACACCCCGATGTCGGGCTTGTGTATTTATATATTTAGACTTACATTATGAGATCTTTGATTAATTAAAAGCTTTAAAAACGACTTTTATTGAATAATGGTTAATTCGGGAATTGTGTCGGCTAGCCTAGTTTCACAATAGGCTCCCTCACGACCAGGTCGGTTTTAGGGTCGTGAAATACTTTGTGTTTCCAAGCAAAAAAGGACAGTTGTAAGCACGTAATTTTTGACTCGTCACATTTTTGAGCTATTTTTAGTGTTTAAAAATATTTATTTAAATTAAGTTTAATTTTTATTGAATGTTAGTCAATTTTACTTCAAATTACAATTTAAAAACACAAAAAAATATTTTCATCTTTAGTTTAAGGTCAATTAGTATATTTATATTTATAGTATTTTAATTTTACCATGACTTTAGCCTATTTTTTCTACTTTTTACTTTATTATAATATTTGAAAATACAAAAAAAAAGCTTTATATTATGATACAGTTTTACTTTAATTAATTTTACATCTAATAGTATATTTTTAAATTATTTAAAGGAAAGGAATTAAGTTTTCTTTATTGTTGGATTTGGCCCAATTCGGATTTTTCAGACCCATATCCTATCTACCAACAATATAAAAATATAATAAAAAACAAAAAAAGCCTAATCTCTAACCTAGTAAGACCCCCACCCCTTCCCCTACAAAAATTCCTTCAGCCAAACCCCATCTCTAGAGGGCCGCTCACTCTAACCCCATATTCTTAGGTCTACCACCCCTCCCTTTTTCCTCAAGACCAAGCTCTCATCTCTCCCCTCATTCCAAAAAGACGCGCACACACAAAGATGGAGGGAACGAAATTTGGATAGAAACTTTAGGTTCTTTAGGTTTCTATCTTTTCTAAGTTTGGTTAAAAATTTCAGAATTTCAAAAAAATACAAAAACGAAAAAAAAAATATTCTTTCATGTTTCTTCTGCTGGATCGTCGTTCGAGGTCCAAGTTCGTGGGGTTTCCCGATTCGCCTCACTACTGTCTTCTTCTTTCAGATTTTCACCTTTTGTGAAGTTGTTTCAGAAGCTCTATTTTTCATATATTAATGAAAGCTTGGTTAACAGGTTCGTTTCTTGATTTTCTCTTGTCTATTTAAGTTTATTTAATTTGAATATTATTCCACGACATGTCCTGTTTTAGTTATGTGATTAAATGTTATAATCTTGAATCTGTTTCGTTTAGATACGTTGGTTGCAATTCTTTAATTAACCTTAAGAGTTTACTGCTTTGAACTCTTCATAAGACATGTAATCTATTTATGTTAAATTTAAGTGTTAGTGGAGTAACTTGTGAGGCTAATATGAATTTCATGTACTAGTGGAAGAGAGTTTAAGAAAAGATTGAAGCGATAAGAATTTATTTTCCTTGTCTTCATTTAGTTTAGTATTCTGTGATCTTTCTAATTACCTAAACATTTAGTTCATTGAATGGTTTGAATGCATATTTAATCGATTGTTTATTTCTGTTTTGTTTGTTTTTGTTGCATTCATCACTGTTTCTCTGTGGCGGAAGGGTCCTGTGGTTGTGGGTTCAAAATTAGATTTAGGGTTTGATTAATATTGAGAAGGAATCTGAGTTTAAAAAAGGTATTGCCACCCTCGTTTTTATCTTTCTTTTAATTTCTCAGGTCACTAGGAGCATGCTAGGCCCGTTGATATTATATAGCTGCCCTTTTTTATTAGTCCATAAATAATTTTATAATATTCATAAACATATTAGTAGCTTCAGAAACATTCTTAGTTAACCAGATTATTGTGATTATGTATACATTCGCGTGACATAATAACGATTTTCAAAATTAAATCTAGGGTATGCATTCACACAACTTTGGGAAAAACAATCTTACTAGTAATTATAAAGTGTTATTAACTGTGTACACGTACCCGTGACATGATTCTGGACACACCAAACAAAAGAGTACACGTACATATGACTTGTTTCAAGATAATTTCATAATTACGAACAATCAAGCAATTAAAAGCAGTAAGAAGGTCAAATGTACATTGGTTCTAAAAGTGAGTAATTAAACAATTTAATCAAGTCATGTATGATTAAAGCGACTGGGCTAAAATAACGAAACTCGAGAGTGCCTAACATCTTCTCCCGGGTTAACGCAATTCCTTACCCAGTCATCTAGTTTCGCAGACTTTAAACAGAGTCAAATTTCTTCGATTTGAAATTAAAATAAACTGGTGACTTGGGACACCATAAATTATCCTAAGTGGAGACTCTAAAATTGAATAAAATAATTCTATTTCGATTAGTGTCACTTAAATTTGAAAAACTCCCTATCCCTCAGGAAAAAGGAGGTGTGATAGTCTTCCTATTTTCTTTGGCAACCATACTGCAAGCCTGACACCTTTATTTGAATTGGCTATCTGTTTGAACCATTTACCTCTCTTGAGTACTTGGTACATTTATAAGCTTGTTAAAAGCTAAATGAGGTATGGTTGGGGTTTTTAAGTGGAACTATAGAAAAGCAGAAAGGTGCAGTGTTTGAAAAAAATTGGGAGAGCTACTGGTAGGGAATTGAAAAAAGACAAAAAAATGGTGTTTGTATATATTATAAAAAAAATTATTCCTTGATAGTGGTAAATCTTGTTTTGTCTATGCTTAAAGAAATTGGGAGCTTGGTGTTAACATGATGTGAAGGTTGAGGATTGGTTTAACATAAGTGTGGAGGTAGAATTTGTGAAATTGTATGTATTAAAGTTCTCAGGGAGGTGTAGCCACTATTATCCAAATTGTATCCTACTCGTCCCGCAGCCTACATTGCAACTAAAATTAAGTCCTATTTGTTCTTTGACTGAATGAGCTCAATTAGTAGAGTATCATACTGCGGGCAAGCCTATGGTACGTTTTTTGTGGCACATGGATTTTGATTCTAAGAGTGAGTGAATTCTTTCTATCTTTAGTTCCTATTTGTTCGTGAATTTTATTTTGTGTGGAACTACTCTCTATATTTTGTTAGTGCGAGGGCACATGACTTGCGAAGGAAAGGTAATGACATTGACCTTTGCGTTAAAGTAGGTAAGCAGGTTGTGAAAAAATACGTGGTGCTTTTGAGTCAAGTTTTGAGACTAGGATGTTATGATAGGGTGCTTATTCTTCTTTAAAAATTCTTAGCATGATCTGGCAGGGAAGTTGTTTGATGAAAAGGTCATCCCTATGTGAAGTGTAGTGTGATTGATCAAGGAAGAGCAATGGTATAAGTGTGGGGTATTGATGATAGGCTGAAAATCCATATTTTAGCCGTAGTATTGCACTCTAATTACTGTAGTTTATATGTGTTTGAGCTTAAATGATAGTGAACTACAATTATTATGTGTTTTATGCCTTGCAGGAAGTGATTTTGAGTAAAAAAAGTTAATTTGGATCTAAATAGAACAAGTTATAGCTTTGAAGTATAAGTAGAAGCCCAAGAAATTAAGACGGAATCACATTCGGGGGTCGAGGATTAAGTCCGAATGTCAAAAAGTGGATAAAACGATTTACTCTGAGAAAACAACACTGTTGTGCTGCATGGGGCACCACAATAGCGTGGCATGACTATGTAAACATGGTTGCCTGACAGAATTCAGCTCTCTGAACATCCTCATAAGCGCGTCACATGGCACAGTGCGCCTGTATAAATTTCTCAGAGTTATTTCCTATTTCGGCTAGGAAAAGGGAGTTTCGTTTGGGCCCGTTCCTACAGAGTACAAATATAACAAAAATATATTTTTGAAGGGACTTTTGACCTACGAAAATTTGAGAAGCAACTAAGGCAAGAAGACACAAGAATTCATGAAGATTTCAACCAACGATCGGTGCAATACGGGAGTTTGTGTCGAATCATTATCATTGATGTTTTCTTTGTTTTTAAACCTTATTGAGATGACTTTTTCTATTACTATGGAGTAATTTCCATTAGGGTCTTGATAGATACGGTATTTTGATAAATTGATTAGGGATTCGATTCTTGATAATTGTTGGAATTAATTGATGGAGTTTTAATTTGTATTATGAATTTATTTCTTATTTTGCTTAATCGAAAGAGGAGCTTGATATTGAATGTCTTTACATCTTATGCTCTAGTTTAAATTTGTGATTCGATTAGGTAATCGAAAGAGCCCCTTGAATTGTTAATCGAACTAGAAATAAGGAAATATTCGTGATAAGTTACCCTTTAGACCATAACCATCATTTTATTCGTTACAATTGTTTATCGTGATTCAATTAGATTAATTACTGAAATTAACATTTAATCAAAAGGGGAGCATTAACTTCAAGTGTAATATATTATCTGTTAAATTCAAGAGAATCAACAGTATTATAGAGCGAACTAACTCAAGAATTGGATCCCGAGTCAATTATCTTATACCTATCTAGTCAATTACCATTATTTCTCTCATTGATATCTCTTTGTTGCTCATCTGCTATCTTTTATAATCAATTGTTAAATTTTTAGTAGTTAGTCAGAGTTGCTAATCATCAAATCAAGTATTTATTTTCGTGGATAGTAATCAACTGAAGATTATTCGAATATTGTTTAAATCTAATCCCTGTGAATACGATAATTAAACTATATTATCTTTGACTAGCGACCAATAACTTTGTGTTTTGTTTTGTGCTCATCAAATTTTGTGTTGTGTTTTTTTTTAATTTCTTGGCCCCAAAAATTATACATCCGCGTTGCGGGGTGATTTAGCTCCAAATTAACTTTTTAACACAAAATCACTTCCTGCAATACATAAACACTTAATAAGAGTAATTCACTATCATTTAAGCTCAAACACACATAAAAATAGTAATTATAGTGCAATACTACGGCTAAAATACGGGCTTCTAGCCTACCATTAAGAAGTGCCTATCGAGTGTTCAGTCCATTTGGGTGTCAAAACATGCATCTATGAACAGATGTAATGCCTCATTGCTTGAAGATATATTGAAGATGTAGTCATTGAGTTGTTCAAGCCACCTTTGCCTCAAATTCAGCTCTCATTGGTTGAAGATATATTGTAGACTCGTATAGTCCGTGAATATATACATGTGCACTCCATACAAGTAATGACGCCTCAATGTGACCACCACTGTCGCAAAATCCAAATCATGAGTCAGATAATTTCTTTCATGATTTTTAAGTTTCCTCGAATCATAAACAACTACCTTACTGTTGTTTATCTGAATAGATCCGAGACTAATTCCAAAAGAATCGTCATGGATTACAAACCTTTCGAATCAACCAGTAATATCAACACGGTCAATCCGGTCTTCAATCGTTGAAAACTTTTCACACAAACATCGGACTATTTGAATTTAGCCACCTTTGAGTCAACTTGGTTAACATGGAGGCAAGAGAAGAAAATCTCACTATAAACCTTTTGTGATAACCGGCCAAACTCAAGAAACTTTGAGGTATTGCCCAAATCTTTGTGGCTTCTATATTTTGACCCTTCACTTGAAACCACATGACCCAATAAAGCTACGGATTTGAGCCAAAATTTACACTTCGAAAACTACACGTATAACTCGTTCTCTTGGAGCGTCCATAAGATCCCCCGGAGGTGATTGATATGATCTTCCTGACTCCGAGAATATATAAGGATGTCATCAATAAACACTATGACGAACATGTCCAAGAAAGGTTTCAAAAACCAATTCATAAGATCCATAAAGGTTGTTGGGGCATTTATTAACCCGAAAGACATCACCATAAACTCAAAGTGAACGAGTTTTAAAAGCCACCTTCGGAATGTCCTTTTATTCTCTTATTTTTAATTGATGGTTGATGGTAGGTTAAATTACGTGTTTTAGTCGCTTATTACATTCTAATTTACTACACATTAATTGTGTTTGAGCTTTAATCATTAGTGTTTTGTACTTATTATGTGTTTTATGCCTTGTAGGAGTGACTCCGAGTGATGTAGATGTTATAGAGATAATTCGAGCTATTTGGAGCTTTGAAGTCTGATTATAAGCCCAAGGGATTAAGCCGAGATCGTATTTGGGGGTCGAGGACCAAGTCTGGATGTTAAAATGCAAGATTTGAGTCGTACTCTAAGAAATTTGCAGTAGTGCGATGCAGGGTGCGAGGCATAGTGCGAGGCAGCAGTGTATTTTTTGTTGCTTGTCAAGTTGTTGAGCTTCTTGAAGATCTCCACTAGTGGGGGCATGGTGCGTCGCCCCATGCGGCGCTCCTGTGCAATTTTTACAGGCCAATGTCCTATTTCGTCTAGGAGAAGGTGGTTTCGTTTGGGCCCTACCTTACTTGCTATAAATACATATAAAAATATTATTTTGAGGACCTTTGACATATCTTAGACCTAAGGAAGCTAAGGAGGAAGTGGAGAAGCAAAAGCACAAGGATTTCATCATTCAATCCTTACTCAAGACATGAGTTTGGATCGCTTATGTTTTCCTTTAACTTAAATATATTTGTGATGAATTGCTCCATATCTATGGAGTAGTTCTCTTTAGGGTTTGATGGATTTTCTGTATTGTTTTTTGTTTGTGAGTATTAACTCTAGTTTTATGTATTGAATCGTTTTGGATGTTTTAATCGTTGCATCTATATTCACTTGTTCATATTATTGAGAGAGGCATAACTTATGATATTTTTGCATTCTATTTTGTTGGTTGAATTCATTAATTCTTCTTAGTAATCAGAAGAGGCTAGTTGAATTGTTTATTAAACCTAGTTAGGAGGATAATCGAGAGAGGTTCTCCTAAACACCAATTCACTACGAATTCTTGCATATCTTCACCTAGCTTAAATTGATTCATCTGGTGAGGTTGAGACTTAATCGAGAGAGGAGCTTCTACTAGATATTTTAACTAATAATCAAGTGAATTCGAGAGACTCACTTGAACGTCTAGACATGAATTAAATAGAGTTAGATCCTAAACAATTATCTTGCACATATCCTATCAAAACCCTATTTTCTCCAAATTGTTAACCTTCTTTGCTCATTACTTACGTCGAATGTCATTACCCAATAGTTTAGACTCTTAGTTAATTTTAGTTTTATTCACAAAACTCTCAATTGTTTATCATCATGGATAACAATCTAGCTACAAACTATGATAATACTTTTTAACTCCAATCCATGTGGATATGATATTATGTTGTACTATATTCGACTAGCGAGCATATTAAAGTGTGTGTTTTGCGCTCGTCAGTGATACCCTGATACACACCTCATCTAAAAGCCAAGAAGTACATAATACTACATTATTTTATTGGGCCAGTCAGATTCGTTCCTCCACCCATGGAGCATAACCGAAAACCTGATGCCAAATTAGGGGTTCAATCATAAGTTCAAAGTGGAGACAGAAAGTTATCCGCATTGTGCCGCGACGTTAAATCAAGCACTTGTTGGGAGGCAACCCAGCTTCACTTTTTTTTTAAAATATTAATTTTTAATTATATTATTTTTATAGTGTCGATTTTTTATTTTCTAGGAGCATGCAAATCAAAGCTATTGAAAGGATGAAACAACAAATCAGATGGTTGGAACTAAGTGTGAGGTACCCACACGAAGGACCAGGCCTGGGAGAAGTCTGAGTACCCCATGAACTGCTAGTGATTTGGCCTTTGGCCAACCAGGGAGTTTCTTTTACTCTCTTATTAGTTATGGTGTGTGTTGATACACAATTTTTTCCTAATATATTTTTAAATGAGCATATATTTTCAAAATAGTACACATGCATTTACAAACATGCACAAGTATTTTTTATAATTTTAAAGGCTTTAACTCAATTTATTTCTGCATTTTTTATTATACAATTACAAGTAATTATCCCTCATATAATTTTTGTAATGATTTAATCATGTAAATTTATCACTTATGTCCATATATGGCTTAAATAATTTTAATTGTGCTTTTTATAATTACATTTGCATTTTAAGGCTGGAATTACATGTTTTGCAATAATAGCCCATATATATGCATAATTATATTATCTATATAAAAAATTACTTCTGGTATTTTTATGATGTTAAGTAATTATCTTAAATCATTTTCATGCCCAAATGGTATTTTTATCATTTCTAAATTATTTTATAAAATTATTTTATTAAGTTAATTGGATATTTAAAATATAGCCTCTTTCAATTAATTTTTTGGACCTAATTACTCAGCCCAACACCTAAAATGGCTAACCCAATTACCCAGTTCAATTATTAACACAGTGCCTTGATCCAATAACCCACCCAACTTAGATTCGATCCTGGCCATTGATCTCAGAAGATCAACGGTTCGAGAAAATCTTTCCGTTTTAATTACCCTAACCTCCTAAACCTTTCCCCATTCTTCCAAACCCGCAGTCCTTGAAACCCTTCCCTCCTCTCTTCTCTGGAACCCCCTTCTAACCCTAGCCCGCCGTCACTGTTACCCCTCTCGATTCATGAGTTCTTTCTTAAATTCCAGGCCTTATCCGGCCTCATATATCTACTGATTGTTCGATTTTCATGTTACTTGATGACATCTCAAGGGATTCGAACCAGATTTAGTTCAAATCTCTCATCTTTTCGATTAATCTGCCTATATTCAACCGATGTCTATGAGTACTATCACTTTGGTGTTTTCATGACTTCAAATCTCTAGTTCAAAACTAGAGTTTCCACCTCTGTTAATTTTTTAATATAAACTTAGTTATTTCTGGTTGAACTCGTTAGATCTCTTTAGATCTGAAGGGTTTTGAGTTTGTTTGGTATTTTTCCTTTAAGATTTTTCTATTTTACTATTATTGCCAACCAATTTCATTTTTTCCTAAAAGCTAGAGTTTCAATTTTTCTAAGAGATTTCTGCAAAATGTTTCAAATGTTTAGGCATTTTTTCAACTCTCATTTTCTTCTTTACTTTTTTCGATTGATCTTACTAGAGTCTCATCTCTATGGCTTTACACCTTAGGTTTTTTAATTATCTGACTGTTAGTTATAATGTTTTGCCCGCTTACCTAGCTCTGTCAATTAACGTATTAATTGATTTATTTGCCTAATTAGGATTTGAAATTGTGCATCCCTTT